ACTACGAGATGCCAGTCCTCTCTGTTCTGTTCTTCACAAAATTACCAACAGCAATGGTAACACTTCCTTCTAGAGAAAATATCCATGTTGTTTTCTGGAGGTCTTTCACCTAGTAGCACACCGTTGAGAAGTCAAGACCTACTTAAGACAAGGAACTCAGGGCAGAACTCAGATGCAAAAAGTCAGTATTTAGTAGGTAGAAGAAGATACAGGCTACCAAGGAGGCATTTAGAAGTCATCCCATATACAAGTAGATGTGATGTCAGAATAGCCAAACCTCACCTACAACTAGTAGTTGGAAAGGACACCAAGTCCAGCAAGAAGAGCTTCTAGCACTACACTGGCAGTGGAAGCCATCTGTGGACAAACCAGAGAGTGGGAGACGTCATTACTCCAACTTCAGCACAGATTTCCACACTGTCTCCCTCAATATTCTCATAACCAAGTGCAGACCTTATAGTCTGGACAAGCAGGCAGCTAAATGGGTTAAAAAAAACACAAACAGAAACACCATGGTGAGGCTTGGAGGGCAGAGGATAATGGGTCCCCCTCCCTATGGGTGAGTCCTTCACTGACTCAGTGACATCAGCCATGGTATACCTATTGCTGTGGACACTTGCCTATACCTCATACTCAAAAACATTCCTGCTGTTTTATAAATATGCATGAAGCCCGGCAAAGAGAGGATTAAAAACATGCATCTGGAATTTATCACCTCATTAAAAGGCCCGGTATGATGGTAGCTAACAACTAAAGGAAAAATAAACAAGAAAATATCTATGGGATTGATCAGTCATACCAGGAAATATACTTCACCCTATAGTGAAAGGGGCATTCACAACCATTCCAATCAAACTACTACCCATCAACAAAACATAAGGCAGCCTTCCCTCTCCTATTCATGCCCAATTTAGAAGTGGAAAACCAACTGGAGTATCTTAAGTGCTGCTGGCATCTGCCTATAGAGAAGGTGGTTTTGCAATCTAATGCATTCTCTATGTTACTATTCACATTATTGCCATGGAAGAAAAGTACCTTGACTGTTTCTTCTGCCAACCATCAGCACATCTAAGATAAGGCTGAGCTGGCTTACTTAAGTGAGAGTGGGATGAGGATCCTTGTAGAGCATCAGTCGAGTTTTTTGAGACAGCTTTAAACTCTGAAACACGTTCTGTGTATCTACACAAGGAGATGTATGATCTCATTCTTTTAAAGTCAGGAACAACTTGGTTCCCTGCTTTTCCAAAAGATAATAATTTGACTCCAATGACTAATTCCTTTCTCTGCTTTATATTTGATTACTTATTTTTCTAGGTCATATTAAAAAAATATTTTGCTGAAGTAGGAGAAAAGTATCTAACTGACAACAGTCTCTGTTGAGTCAAGCAACAAGGACATGGAGAAACAGTTGGATGGATTAGCAAAATAAGTTAAGAGCAGTCTTGGAAGTTATCTGTATTTACAACAACAGAAGACCAGTGTAAGTCTCTCAGGTTCTTGATAAGCTTTCCATGCTCACTTCTGTTCTGAAATAAGCTGTATCTTTCTCACACAGGGGAGGGAAAAAATTTTGGAAAATTATCAATTCCTCAGTCTAGCCTTAAGAAATGGAATTACATTTGAAAGAAACATGCTTGAATTAAACTAAAGCTTACTGATGATATATGAAGGATAGAATAATTATGTCCATTAGAATAATTATTTTTAAAAAATAATTAATTATTTTAAATTAATTTTTAATTAATTTTAATTAATTTAATTAGTTAATCAATTAATTAATTTTAATTAATTAATTATTTTTAAATTTTTAATAATACATTCAATAATTGGACAGAAAGATGTGTCATTAGCTCTGGAACAGTGATCTCCAATCTTTGCCCTAGCTGTTAGGACAGAAAGCATAACAGACAAGTTTTAAGAAATCTCTTTTAAAAAGCTTGAACAAAATCTCTAACAGATTTTTCTTTTTAAAATTATTATACTGGAAGGCAGATTGAATTTAAAAAAAAACCTAAAAAACCTTAAGCTCCAAAAGAGGATCTGTCATATAATTGCAAGTTTTACCCACCAAAATTTAGCTGAATTTTCAGAACATTTCTTTTGGCACACTGTTCCTCTGACTTAGCAGACACATTATCTGTCTTTGGGATGGCTGAAGTAGAGCCTTTACAAGAAAGATTAACTCAGCTATCTTGCCTTTAAACTTCCAATAAAAGCAAACCACCACTTTATATGATAGTCCACCAGATTTCTATTACTCTGGGTAATTTAAACAGAGGCAGGCACCTTCTAGGAGGATGTGCCTACCCAGACGTGATAAGATGTGTAGATGGGCCAGTTCAGGGATATCTCAGTCCCAGCATGCCACACTGCATTTGTGAATAGACACAGCACTTGGCATTTCTGAGCTGACATGCCAACCTTTTCATTATAATACCAACTGTCTCCGTGACAGATGTGACATAGTGTCAGCATGGGACTGAAATCACAGGGAAATCATTAAAAAGGATTGCATTGCTGGGTTTTGTAAGTCTCCAAAGATAGTCTGGAGACCAAAGGAGAGACTAAGTATATTAACTAGGTAGAAAAAAGTTTGTTCAGAAAACCAGTGATAGAAACAAAGAGAATCTATTGTGAACTCCTTTAAATATACATCTAAATATATCTACTTCATATGGACTGTTGTTACAGAAATTTTAAGATAAAATAAAACCTGTTTCACTACAGCACATCTCAGATCTAGATTTGTACAGAGGAGGCACTCTCAGGACAAAGTTATGTATTATGCCTTTAGATAATTTAACATGTAACCATATGCTGATGGATTCAATGCTATTCATGCCTCTTCCCCCACAATATGCAGAATACTCCCTTCCTCCCATTTCACCAGTGTTTGCCAAAAACTATACCAAGCTGATTCAACACTGACTCGAATGTGCTAAAATGAACAACTTTCTGTGGGAATAGCAAATTGAATTAACTCAGTGAAGGGTCAAACAAGTGCTGAAGCAATGGGACTTTACCCCTAAGATATTGAGATTGGAGTTGTGCTTCTTCTCCACCATACAGGTGTGAAAAGACAGCGCAGGTAGGAAGCAGCTGGGTACCCTAGACAACAAAAACTGAAATTGCAGAAGTAACAAAGTAGGACATGCCCAGGCAATACAGACATGCATGACTTTCCTATTGCTTTGATGCATCGCCCCCTTTAACCCTACTGGGCTCCTGTGCACTTCAAATACCCTCTCCCCACTCCCTTCTCTATTCCTTCACTTGTCACATATAGTATTGATCCTCTGAGCTTTACTACCCCCAAATCCTTATCATCTTTTCCTAGTTTTTCTTCTTGCCCACTTAAACTCATAACCACAACAACAACATTAGCATTAACGTGACACTCATCAGCATTGGGACAATTGCTGAGCACACACATCCCACCCCTTCCCCCTTCCTTTTTCCATTTACTTGCACTATTTAGGAGAGTGGCAACCACAACACTTTCATGCAATGACTTGGATGACACAGTGCTGCAGTAACCACCACAAAATACACAATGACTAGTGACACTCTTCTGATTGACCTGACAATATCAATATACAACAGGATCTCTTTTGTAACCCTTGTTTTTGCAGGACTCTGTATGTACACAAAGGGTGTGAACCAATACCCAGTCTCCGAGTAGCCACCCCTTTGTACTGCCAAGGGAGACAAACACTATCTGTGAAAGCATGTGGGCAGAAATGTAACCAAAACACCAAGGTGATGATGAATAACACATTCCTGAATGTCAAGGTACAGTGGGATTTTCACAATTTTGTAACATCCCAGCTTCTTTCCCACATTGCAGAAAAGCAAAATAAAATGTAGGTGGAACCAAAGTCTGTTGTTATTAGCATGCAAAGAAAATGAACTTATTTAAATTCCCCCATCTGTTCTGGCCAATCATTTATGAGTAATTCTTAACATTTCAGTCACCTGAAAAAAAGACAGTGAGTTCTAGGCAGAAACATTTCCGAAGCAGTTAATATCGAGGATCACAGATGAGCAAATCATGGTGTTTCATTCTTTCTGTGGGCTTTGTTTCACAACTGGCTTCCTGGCTGCTTTTTGTCTCTAGCATTTCTCTCCTGCTTCTGGCAGATGAAGTGGGGGTGGAAAAGAAAAGGGAGAGAAATTCTTGGGTAGCATGAGGATTAGGATTACAGTAATTTTCAATCCTTCAGCAAGAAAGAATTTGCTCAGGGAACAGATAACCTAATGCTCTTCCATCCCACTTTATTTTAACTTTTTTTTTTAACTTACATTTACAGTTGTTTGCAATTTTAAAGTTATACAACCCAGGCAAAAGGTTTACAACATTTATCTCCTTTCTGCCCCCAAATCCATATGGAATGTACCTCCCATCCACATATTTTTTCAACTTTTTTGTCATTGCTGTGGGCAGTATGAAACAGAAAACTGCAATTAGAGAGACCCTTAGTCACACACCTTCAGGTCATTGACATTTGGTTCATACACAAGCCTGATGTGAATGTAGATGCCACTCATCACAAGGAAAATTATGCCATGGATAACAAATCATCTCAAATTAAACAACAGTATTAGCACAGGGAGAGTTACTTTCAAAGCATTCTTGGTATTCTGTCTGATTACCTGTCATTGTTCAAAACAAAGGGAGAACTGCCCTCACATTGCTCTACTTATGTTTCCTTTCAGTGTTCTGAAATAAGAGCTGTTCAAGTACTTGAGTTTTGTTTTCAGTTGGAAAGGTCATCTGATGTGCGTGGCAAAATGAATCTGTAGACTTTTTTTAATAAGGATAAAGGGGAAGAGATGGGTTACAGGGAAGGAGGGAAATGGAAGTTTACTGCATCTTCATTTTTTAATTTGCAAAAGTCTCACAGAAGTTATAGAAAAAGTATAATTAGTAAAAGAATAACAGTCTAAGAGCCTACAGAATCTAATACTGTTTTGAAAAAAGAAAAGCAATGACTACTTACATATAATATGTAGGATATAATCCTTCAAAGTACCAGCAATGCTTTTTGGCCTCTGTACACTACAAAGAAAGAAAAATATGGTATTAATATTTACACAGGATCATGTACAGTTATAAACACAAGCTTAGAGTATTTATAAATACTGTGACTCTGAGCAGTTAGGAAAGGTTTATATTCCCAAAGATTTCCCAATCCAGATACACACAGCAAGTGGGAAGTCAGTTCGTGTAAATAGCAGCATGTCCTGCCAGGACTCAGATCCCTCACGCAGGGAGGGCTTTGTCTGTGGGGCCCCACCAGCTTCCCGCAGTTCCTGAACAAAGTCAGTACATTTGGCACGGACCCAGGACCGAGCTGCACGTGTTCCCTGGCAGAACTGCTGCCTTAAAAAGACACGGACAACTTAAGAGCTCAGGCGTGGGTATAGCCCCTTACAAGACCTCCGAGGCACAAGTAATTTGATGATACTACATATATGACTACACAGTAAATTCAACAGTTATAGGGAATTATTCATTTTTCTGGAAGCGTGTGACATGCGGAGCCAGGTTCAGGAAGGAGCAGAACGGAGAACCATCTATCCTATCTCCTCTTCGTACAGCCTGGAAATGTCTCAAGTGCTCATTAAAGTAGTGGGGAAAGCTCTGCAGCTCAGGGGCATTGCTCTTTTGCGGATTGCCGGTGTATCCCTGTGAAAGGAGAGGCATTTTCTCGGCATGTGTGTGCCAGCGACGTGAGAAGCGCTCATCCTTACGGGCACTGACAGAGCACAGGCGGCAGCTCACAACAATAGCAGCCCCTAATAAAAAAACAGATGTCAAGCTCTACACAACGCACAAAAAAAAAAAAAAAAAAAAAAAAAAAAAAAAAAAAAAGCTGCGTATCCCACTGACATCACTAGCACAAAATGCCATCTTCACAGCAGACACAGCTCCAGCAGCTCCCTTGCAAGCTGTATTATCCCATCACACATGAGCAGGGCCTTGTGGGACGCCCACTGTAGAGCAGTGAGGAACACCTGGGGTTTTAGCAACAATTCCCTCTGCTGCTCACACCTGACGACAGCGAGCCCCTGGAATATTGTCGGTGCTTGGATCATTCTTCATGTTCACTTGGCAGCTCACCTTTAAATAATAGCTCATTTAAGTTTATTAGCCTTCCCAAATCCCAGAATACTAAATGAATCCAGTTAAGACAAAGACAAAATGGTTTTAGATCCCTGACTCTCATTCTTCATGAATAAAAAAGGCTGCAAACTCTTTAATGAGTGTCTGATGAGCTAAATCACAGACAGATCAATTACAGCCTGTGAAGACAAACTGATATGGATTAAATTGTTACGAGTGGTTACAACTGGGGGAGGAGGAAGAGGAGGAGAAGATGCTTTTGATGCATGTGATCAGGCCTTTTTTCAGTAGCACAACAGGCTCACACCAGACTTCAAGATGCACAAGCTTTAGCTTATGCTGGAAGGTATCCTTCCAGTCCTCTTTCCCTAGGATCAACACAGCAGAAACCTTGATCAGCTCTCAAATGATGCCAGGGTCCAGGCAGTAAATTCAGGAGGACTTCTTAGCTTCTGCTGAAGCAAGTGGTGTTCAAAGATCCATCTCTGCATTTGCCCTATGCTGTCTTTCTTCCCTCTCCTTCAAAGCTTCCAACTTGCTAACCCTTCCTTCCAAATATTTTCACCAGCTGGCTGTTTCCTCTTACTCTAAAATTAGAAATATGTCAAGTTTCTCTTCATAACACCATGCAAATCTACATGCATTGAAAAACCTAGTAGGCATGCTGCCAAGTCACTGAAAAATATTTTGGCTTTTCACCTTTGAAGGCTGTAGATCAGCAGACGTTGACTAAAATTCGAGTGCCTGTAGGTCAATCCCCCGGGAAGCCTCATTTCAGAGTACAGCTTGGTGTGTGCACTGCCATTAAATGTTTTTCCTTCTTGCTTCTCCAGCCAGTATGAGTCACCATTTACCTCAACAGCCTTGAAGCCTTTTGTCAGTCTCAAGGATTTAATTGATGCTTTCCCAGAAATGTTTCTGAGCACGTGGAGCCTGCATACCCTTTGAAAGTGTAAAGCAGACATTTATTTATATTCAGCACTCTCCCCCCATATTTTAATCTGCTTTACAAGTTCTAAAATGAATTGGGAAGATTCCACCTTCCAACATCTCCTTAACTGTAGGGTTTCTGTTTCTGCCTCTAAATAACTCTCTTTTTCAGACAGCCAATATGCTTACTGCTGTCACAAGAAAGGCTCCAGCATGGGAAAGTTCCTTCCAGCTTACAGGGCTTAGATACCTGCACTAAACATCCTTTGCTGCCCAGATTTACTTTTAAATTGGCCCTGGAAGAGCAGGCACCAATCCCAGTTCTGCCTTTTTTAATATCACAGTGCTATGAATACTGCATGGCAGTTGTTCAGCTCTCCTGCATGGGAATTGGGCAAAAAAAGCAAGTGGACCTCAAATGCGAGCAGCAGAGCCAAATCTGATCCACATGACATGTCAGACAGATTTACACACACAAGGGCAAACCGCTGAGCTCCCTGCTCAGTTAAACTCCCACTCATCTCCATGGCAACTTTACTCCAGTAAAGCTTGACACAAAGCAGGCGGTACTAACCACCCTCCCTACTGCTGGTTAGCAGCCCTCACTGCTGCTGAGAATAAGTCGAGAATGTCACTGCCTCTAAGGATTTGAGTGCCTTTAGCACTCAGGCACCAGAGAGATGAACGGGGATCAAGGTACAGATTAGCTTTTCCCACTCCACACACATCCTTGAAGAAGGCTATGATAATCCTCCTCTTGCCAAGATCCAAATTATTCTTCTGAGTGGTACTGGCTTCAACAGCTAAGCTGGTGGAGAGCCACACAAGGGTAAGAGGAGACATATGCCATCAACATCAGGCTCTCAGCCTTTGGAAAGCAATGTCCTTGTAGTTGTTTGAGACTATTAAGCTCTCAAGAAAGCACAGCTGGCAGGAACTCGCTGCAGCCCACAAACCAGATGCAAAGGGAAGATTAGTCATATTGCTGCAATACAATAGGACCTCACACATCAGGATGGGTGCCCACTCTGCCAGCTCCCATACGAAGACAGGCTGTCTCAGATTTTCTAACAAGCATTCATTCTTGTATTTAAAAAGCCATTTACCCATTCACTAATAGCCAAAACAGTCTGTCTACGGTTTTAAAACTAAGTTTAGGTACAGCCTTACTGATACTTCCAGCTCTTCTAGGGAAAGGACTCTGCACATTTCTCATATAAAATTCTCCCTTCTATGCCCTTTAAAAATTTGGCACAGCTATAAAATATAAATATGAGAGTACATTCATTTTTAAAATAAATTATGCAGGTCTAATTGGGTGTGCATATGTAATCTTTAGAGAATTAATGGTATGTGAATTAGCCAGATGCTTGAATACATTCCTTAAGTTTGCAAAGAAAAGAAGAGAAAGAGAAAAAACACAAGACTTGTTTTTTTGTTTGTCTGATTTAAATAAATCAGTTTCTGCCTTGTAGCCTGTTTCCTCTGCAAGACTGTAGCAATGTGAACTGCAAGCTGTCCTTTTCTGTAGCCTCTAAATTATTTCAGATTTCCTTTAAAAAAGGAAACCTGCTTCTGCCACAGATTGATATTGCAAATGTTACGGCTGCTAGTAAGAACAATGAGAAATAGGAGTTACTAAAACATTAGCCAAAGACTGGTTACTGGTTTTGATCACTCTATAAAATACAGAACACAAGATGCATATGTACACACATGGTGTGGGGGATGCTAGAGCAGGCAGCCTGCTCACTGAATGTCGGGTGGTACTCCACAGATAGTATTTCTGCAAATCCTGCAAAGCCTATCTCTAGCAGGAATATCCTCCACATTGCACATCATTATCTCTCAGTCCACAGGACAACGAAAAGAAAATAGATCTGATCAATTAATTACTCTTTGTAATCAAGGGATTCACAGCCAGTGCCTTCAGAGGAGGTCTGGAAATTAATAACAAAAAAGTAAAAGCAAATATAGCCTCATATGCATATTCCAGTATGAGTACAGTCCATTTTTAATATGGGTACCAGTGAAAACAGCAGCCTGCTGTGGAGGGCAGATGGAGGGCAATTGCTATCTGTATGCTGAAGGGACATCCAGAGCGAGTTTGTGACATCTGCTCAAAGCCAGATTCTGCAGGAGGCACGAGGCTACTATCAGCCACAAGGCCAATGAAAACCTATCAGTCACCCACAACTGAGGGGGAGCCTTTCTTTTCCATTACGTATTACAGCTATAAGGATCCAAGGCAGATTCAGAAGAACAAAAACAGGTATTTAACAGTGACGTGCCATACTGATATGATGGAAATTGGTCCTGGTATTTTGGGATGACCTGCTTAGTGGCTGTAACCTCCCACTTAGCTGGGTATATGCTATCCATTAGTAGGATTCAAGATGATCCACATGCCACTCATTGTGGCTACAGCCTCTGAGGTTCTGCTCGGATTAATACACAGATGAACAGGAAGAAAGAGCTAGAAGTATCTTTGACATCTTAAACATCTTATTGTTTCTAAGCATCACACAATCTCATTCCAACACAGAGCCAGAACTCTGTCCTCCATACTGCTGGATCAAACTAATAACTGAGAAAATGGGAAGGACAACATCTTTCTCACCATATGGCTCCACAGCATCTGAGAAACAACTGTCTATACCTGCTGCCTTTCTTACAGAAAGCCACTTGCAAAATTCAGATCTTTCCTGGTTTTATTGGTCACTGCACCTGGCAAATACTTGATGAAGCCCAGACAAAATGAAGATAAAGTCTACGGTGCAACTCCAGACTATATAAGCAGTTCCAGAAGGCACATTATTGGCTACGAATCACAATGTTTTATGGGATCTGACCTTTAAAACTGCATCAGTTTTCAGAACACTATCCCTTTCAGTGCCTAGACAAGAGTTGGAAACATTATGAGATACAAGCTGGGCTGTATCATAAGGACTTCTATGTGCTGAAAGTTTGAAAGACTGTATTTGCAGACAAAAGAATATGACACATCCTGTTCTTCCATTTCCAAGAAAAGGGCAAACTATCCATTAAAGTAAGAGACAGCATATCCTGAATCTGGAAAGTGCAGCCTAAGGGTGAAAACAATTTGCTAGAGAAAACACATTTTGTTTTAGCCTTTCTTGAATCCATGAAAATTCATCCCTACTTCTTCCCTGGTGATGCTAACAGCTGAGGGTGAAAGTAGCCCATCTGCAAAACTATTGTAAGACACTGAACTCGCATGTTACCAGTGAGTTCAACATATACCCTTGTTGCAAAAGACAGGAGCAAGTTTTACTAAAA